CTTCCTCCCCCTCCCAGTTTTTGCTGCTTCTCCCAATTCTTCTACATCCATTCTCTTGGGGCAGATCTAGAGATACATTTGTATTTTGAAGATCTTTCTGTCTTTGTTGATGGGACAAAATATCTCCCGGGGTTCTTCCTCCTGGAGAGGGAGAGATTGGATGATCTCTGGTGGATTCTTTTGAGCTTTCACATATTTTTGTCCTTGTAGAGAGACGTCAAGAAGGCTACAAAGAAGCACCAAGTAAGTGACTTTGTCCTCTTTACATGTAATCTCCGACTTAGAGCAGGGACCAGAGGCACCATCACTTGAGTTTGTGTTTGTGCTTGTGTGTGTGTGTGTGTGTTTAAACACAAAAGAATCTCATGAAACTGCAGAGTTGTGCTATCTTCCTCCTAAGAACGGGAAGATGGGCCCGATTTTCATTACAGCTAGGTTATTCTTGGGAATGGAGACCCCCCAAGGAGGAACTTCTGGTGTGAGAAATCCTCAAGAAGGGCCAGCTGGGTGGAAGATCTGAGTTCTGGAAAGGAAAAGGCTGGCTATAACATGGTCAGAAAGTTCTGTAAAAATAGTCATCCAAAGGGGGTATTTTGAGAGAAAAGGGACTTTGGTGGATGACAGCCGGATCTTTTCTTGGTCTCCCATCCTGAGGCTTTCTAAGTAGGAACTGGTTGTAAGAAGACAGTTTGGAGCCATCTGTATCCTCACATCAGCTCTGCCCTCTGGCTGAAGAATGGTGGAACTGTTGCTCTCTGTGTGTACATAGATATACATTTTAAGAGTTTTTCTTTCCTTTGCCTTCTAGCTAAAGACCCATGTATTTGTGGGTCTTTGATTGTGTGTGTGTGTGAGAGAGAGAAAGGGAGGGAGGGAGCTGGAGTCAGAAAGAGCTGAGCTTCTCCCCCTATAAGCCAAGAGAGCAACCTGCTCACCCTCTTTTTCTTTCCTTCTTTTCCAGCAAGTGACAAAGGATCCAACCGTTCAGACCAGGGTAAGTCAGAGGAGCTGCTGCTGCTGCATGAGCCATTCTGTCCCTTTGGAAGATTCTGGGTGGACGAGGGGATGAAAAGAGGGGAAAGCCCCCCCCCCACTTTTGAAAGGCCCTCCAAATTCATACTCCCTGGGTTCCTAATGTGTCTGGTTCTGTTGAAATCATTAAAATAATTGCACCCACTTTGGCTTCGTGGTGAGGGCACCAGGCGAGACCATGAGTTACAGTCCCACCTTAGCAGGGGTGGGATTCAAAAATTTTAACATCCGGTTCTGTGGGCGTGGCTTAGGTGATGGGCATGGCTTGGTCATGTGACTGGATGGACATGGCTTGGTGGTCATGTTATTGGCTGGGTGTAGCCAACTCAATATCACTCAACATCGAGGCACGCATCTCCTCGCCTGGCCTCTCATGACTGTGGGGATGCTGCAACAGTCGTAAGTGTGAAAAATGGTCATAAGTCACTTTTTTCAGTGCCATTGTAGCTTTGAATGGTCACTCCACACAAGCAAAGTATCAGCAAAGGAGGGGGAAAAAACTCCAGAGAAGTTCCTAAGACAGGAAGTCTAGTCCTGCCAAGAATGTAATAAGGGTTAATGGAGAGGCAGTTTCTGTAAGCAACACCAGAATGTTTCCTTCCTGCCTTCCTTACAGGATTAGGCCAGTAATTTCTTCTAACAACCGGTTCTCTGAACTGCTTAGAATGTTAACAACTGGTTCTAGCAAATAGGTGCAAACTGGTAGAATCCCACCCCTGATTCCAACTGTGAAGGAGGAAAATGTTTCCAAACAACTAAATATTGGCGTCTTCCTCTCTGTTTCCTGGAATCCAAAATTTCCTTAATTTCAAAATGTTGTTCGCCTTCAATTAGAAGAGGAACTGGTGGAGTGGCCCGGTCAGGTCGCAAATGTGAAGTATGTTCAGGTTTCGGCAAACTAACATGAAATACAGGGTGGATTCTTCTAAAGGTTTAGAAGATACTTAACAGCCTGATGTCCTCTGAGAGATTCATGAAACTGAGAGGTTGAATGTTGAAGGGAGAGAGAAAGAGGAATAGGACAAGGCAGAGACTCACTCTGTGTCTTTCTCTCCAATGCAGGGAGCAGCCAGTCCATTTAGCAGCCTCCTTGCAGGTGAGTGGCCCCAGTGGGTCTGCATTGGGGGGAAAGGGAGGAAGGGAGGGAAACGAGGGCTGTGATGTCCAAGGACCGACTGATGGTGAAGGTGCTTTGGGAAAATCCCTCTTCTCTCTCCTGTTCATCTCAAGCGCTGCAAGGGGAGGAATTTGGGGGAGATCCAGAGGGGCTCTGGGAAGGGGGGGCTCTGCCTGCCCACAAACTCTTATCCTGCAAGGCCAGACTGTGACCCATCTCGGGATCTGGTTATGTGATGATACAAAAATAACAAAGTCACCAAAGTAGAATAAATTTTCTTTAATGCCTCCAACTTGGCCCCAGTGTCCAATTGTCCTTGGCTGGATAACAAACTTTTCAAAAAAACAACAACAGTCTACGAAGGGCAGAAATGCAGTCTGAACCCAAAGTAAAGATAAAATTTGTATTTGAGGGGAGGCCCTTGCTATACTTTTGGGAGTAGATTCTCACTCACCTCAGGATCTAGTCCCAGCCCTGCCCCTCCACTCTTGCAACTCTGGAGATCCCACCCAGTTGATCCCTCCCTTGAGGCGGCTGCTTCTACTCCTTCCCTGGGCTGATCTTTGCAGATCCCTCAGCCTGGGCGGTGGGATTCCTCCTCTTGGCTCCCTCTCAGACTGACCCTGCCTGCTTTTTCCCTCTCTTGGCAGCACAAGTGGACAGTCCCAGCATGAGGAGAGAGGAGAGGGGATCGGCCTTCTCCTGAATTAGACCGGACTCTCAGGAGGAGCCCTTCAGGGCCTCCCAGCATGCCTGGAACCAGGATATATTTGAGGTCTTTCGTGATTGCTTTCATCATCGAATCAGTAACCATTTTTATTTTGAGGACCAGAGGAGGAAAGAGAATCTTATGTGTTCATGGGATCGAAAGGATTCAACTTGGATTTAGTAGATATTCTTTATTTGTATCCTGACGAAGGTATTGAAGGTACCCAACACACCTTCCTCACGTTTTCCCCACAGCAACAACAACCCTGTGAGGTGGGCTGGACTGAGAGGGAGTGAGTGGCCCAAGGTCACCCAGCTGGCTTTCATGGCTGAGGCAGGACTTGAACTCACAGTCACTTTCTAGCCTGGTGCCTTAACCACTAGACCAAACTGCCTTGTGTGGCTCGTAATAGCTCTGTAATATAGCTTGATGCAACCATGTTGTTATTATGACCTTTAATGGGCTCCTGATGATTGACAGGTTTTAGAGAAGGTTTTGTGGAGAATGGGGGGAGGAATAGGATGGAGAGTTGCTGGTTTTACTTTAAGGGAGAGTGATAAGTTGTTAAATCTCTATCATACTTGCTGGATTGAAAGTGGAGGGTTTAAATAGATATGTGCAATATAATCTTTGTTTAACAGATACGTATAATAGAATCTTTAAATTATTTTTTAAAAAAGAAATGTGCTTCCTATGCCGTTCAAGTATTTGTATTTTTTTAAAAATGAATTGCACTAGCTTGACCGTATATTTGTGTCATGCAAAGTTTGACCAATACTTAATATACCAAGTAGAGAATTCAAAGACTGATTTTTTTTCCAGATTGCCACTTATGGATTTTCATGCTATAGAAAAAGGGAACAGGAGATCGATTATGCACAGCCAGGCTGCTGCCTCCTAAACAATTATATTTATATTGTAACGTTTGCCAAAATTGTTTGCTGAAAATAAACGACTTTTTTTTCCTCTCACCTGAGTTGCTGCTGTTTTGGGAGATTGAAAATAGGAGAGATTTTTTTTTATTCCTTGTTGCTCAGAGACCCCAATTTCACTTTGAGTGATAGGACCAGGAGGAACCAAGGCAAAAACTGGGGGAGGGGGGGCTTCTCTGTGCTCCTTTGTGGGGGAGGCAGCCATTTTGTTCCTGTGTCCAGGTGTTTCTGAAGGGCTTACTTTCAGAAGTTGCGGGTGACTGGACAGGCATTTCTCTGGAATAGCATAGGGGGTGTGTGTTGGACTAGCGCAGGGGTTGCCAACCTTTTGGACCTCAGGGACCACCAAACTCATAATTTTAAATCCCACGGACCACTAATATGAATTTTGACTGATGGTGGCTTGCTGATGTTGATGGGAAAGTCGGTCCCATATTCCAGAGCTGCAGTAGTCACAGGATTGGGCCTTTGGTCATCCTGGAGCAGCTGTTCCTCCACCCGGGTGCACCGGCCTGCCATGGACTGGAGGAGCTGCTCCGGGGTGACCAAAGGGCCGGTCCTGTGACTACTGCAGCTCTGGAATATGGGACCGACTTTCCCACCAACGTCAGCAAGCCACCCCGGGGCGGATTTCCCTCCCCCGCCGTTGGTCTTACCTTCCAGTTCCAGCTGGCGTGGCTCTACTCAAGGTAAGGTTTGTGCTCGGCTGAAGGGTGGGGGCCAGCGGGTGGGTGGGCCATGTGGGCGGAGTAGCCTTGTGTTCCTGCGCAGCCTGGATTAATTGCTTTGGGGGAGGGGACATTTCTCTGCGGACCACCAAAATTTTCTCATGGACCCTCAGTGGTCCCCGGCCCACCAGTTGGCGATCACTGTCCTAGAGGGTCCCTTTGAACTATGTTATATTGTTAAAGAGCTTCTCAGTCAGACGTATCTTTCCACGCAGCTGGGTCTTCTCACCTTCTTGAGGATTCCTTGCCCCAGATGCTTCGCTTTGCGGGTTTCGACTCCCAAGAACAGCCTTGCTGTTATGAAAAGTGGGAGGGGAGGAATCTTCCCTAGCGTAGTTCGTCAGAGGGGGAGGGAGATAGCACAACTCTGCACTTCCATGAGCTGCTTTTGTGTTTGGACAATGCACAAATACACATAGAAAGTCTTCAACTGAGGCTGCTCCAGTTGGAGATTACGTATCAAAAGGACGAATCACTCATTTGGTGCTGCTCTCTACTTAGCTCGACATTTCTCTGTAAGGACAAAAATTAGTGAAAGCTCACTAAGAATCAGAATCCACCAGAGGTCATCCAATCCCTCCCTTGGTAGGAAAGAAACAACCCTGGGAGAGAGTTTAGACACAACCTCCCCTGAGACTATTATGAACAATCACAGACTACAAGCACACCGTTTGATCTGCCCTCCGAGGTGGATGGGGGAGAATTGGGGGAAGCAGCAGCCGCAACTGGGAGGGGGAGGAAGGTTTCCATGGAAACCCTTCTCTGCTGAGCTTTGACCAAAGCCTTTGAGAGGGACAAAAGAACATGGATGCCTCTTCCCAACTCAGGAGAAGACAGGAGCGTCCCAACCTCGGTCTCAGCTGAATCGAGACTGGAGTCCCAACGAGAGGCTGAGATCTCGGATGCCCCCCAAGAGGGTTGAGAAAACAGGACAGAAGGAAACCCAGGAGAAGCTCCCCAAAGGGGGAGATTTGGGAGGAATCTTCCCATCTTCCTTCCATCACCCCCCCACCTCAAAAAAAGATACTTACTGAAGAATACCAGGATCCCAGCAATCACACCCACTAGGACGAGAGCAGCCACAACGCAGCCGATGATGATCCCCAGGTTGGATTTTGGTCCTGAATTGGAAGAAAGAGGAGATCGTTGAAGGAGAAGCCCAAACCCCAAGAGGATCCCCCAAACTCTCCCCCAAAGCAATTGGG